CTTTTGCTTTGTTTTTCTTTTGTACATATATTTTTTCAGTCAATTTTTTCATTCTTCTAAATTTCTTCTTTCTCTTTTTATTCATGTTTTTTTTCGTCTTTTTTTTTATTATTATTATTATAAATATAATTGTTATCTTTCTCCTCTTACTTCTTCTTCATCTTTCTGTTGTTCTCTTTCTTCTTCATCTTATTATTATAATTCTCCTCATACCACTATTTCTTCACCTGCTCCTATTTCTTCTCATTATTATTATTATTATTATTATTATTATTATTATTACTTTCCTCTTACTTCTTTTTCTTCTTATTCGTCTTCTTCTTATTCTTCTTCTTCTTCTTCTTCTTATTATTATTATTATTATTATTATTCTTTTACTTTTTTTTCTTTTTCTCCGCCTGCTCTCCTCCTACACCTTCTTCTTCTTATCATTATTATTATTATTAATATTATTATTATCCTATTTCTTCTTCTTACGCTTTCTATCTCTTCCCTTCCTCCTCCTCTTTGTTCTTGTTCCCCTCCTCCTTCTTTTCTTTTTTCCTTATTATTATCATACATCTCTTAATTCTTTTCCTTTCCTCCTCCTTTTTCTTTTTCTTCTTCTTCTTCTTCTTCTTCTTCTTCGTATTATTTGTATTATTATTATTTCATTTCTTCTTCTTCTTTTCTCTCCTCTCCTCCTCCTTCTTCTTTTCTTTTTTCTTCTTCTTATTATCATACTCCGCTTACTTCTTTTTCTTTCCTTCTTTTTCTTCTCCGTTTTCTTTTTATTATTATGATTATTATTATTATTATTAATGGTACTATTTCAACAGCTATTCTGAGAAAGATCACCATCCTTCTTCCCCTGTTATTTCTTCTTAAAAACTTCTCTTTCTTTTCTTTCTAAATAAACTGCCTTCTTCATATTTTTTTAACTTGCTCCTGGCTTACGGCCGTTTCACTCTGAATGTGGAAGGTTTGCTACAAGTAGCATGACGGGTCAGACATGGAACCAAGAAATGCAGTTCATCCGAGCACTTTCCATGGTAGTAGCGAAAGAGCAGTGAGAGACTCGCTACACTCCACCTGTGAGAGAGAGGTTGGAAGGTGGAAAATAATTCTTCTCAACAAGGATTCAGAGACGCTTCTAAACCCCATCATGATACGACAGAACTGATAGCAGACACGGAAAATAAATTATAAAATCTCCGACACTGAAGGAGAGTGAGAAAAACGGACTAAGCTTAAAATACAAGACATTAAAAGGATGATCCCGAAATGCAATTTTCAGGTCGGAAACATTAAAATCAAGCAGGTGCGTAAGTTTAAATACCTGGGAAACGTTTTGACAGAGGACGGTACGTGAGACACTGAGATCCGTAGACGTATTTAGATGGCCAAGGACGCATTCCAAGCTGGGCAGAGTATTGCGAGACAGGAGGATTTCTTTGGTAACAAAGAATACAGTACTGAGCTGTTATGTGACGTATGTCACGTCTTATCTGGCGTTATGCTGGGGTTTTTGACAAATATTGGATCGTTTCTTGGCCTATGGCTGAGATTCGATCAAGGCTTCGACTAGCTTGGACTGGCTCCGGCCTGGACTTGCTAGGACAAGTCATGACCAGCTTTGACTAAGCTCTGACCAGCTTGGACATGCTATGACCAATTTTTTACCAGTGGCCTTTGAGTGGAAACACTCGGTTTTCCCACGTTAATCGACCTTGTGTCACATCTTGACCTTGTGGGAGTCAAGTAAATACCTATTTGACGTATGTACTCCTCTACGGTGGCGAATGTTGGACGGTCTCCACAGAGATGAAGCAGAGACTCAACGGACATATGGTTATACATAAGGATGCTGAGGATATCATTGACCGATCATGGGAGCAACGATGAGGTCTTAGAGAGGATACAAACAAGGAGGAGGCTTACACGTAACACCACGAAGAGGCAGATGAAATTTTTGGAACACGTAATGAGGAAAGAGGGCCTTGAGTATCTCGTACTCACGGATCGAATGGAGGGAAATGAAGACAGTGGAAAACAACGCATGATATACCTAGTGGGCGTAAGCAAGTCGATGAAACAGCGTGGTCTGGGGGAGGTGGCAGAGGGAAGGAACTTGTTGAGAGCTGCAAGGAGTCGAGAGAGGAGGAGAGATATGATCACCTACATCGTGATAAGTCACGGCACTTAAAAAGAAAGACTCCATTTTCGACCTGATCTGGCTCTAATGCGATAACCTTTCTTGTGGGTATCGTATAACGAATAACGGCTTGAAATGAGAAGTCGGAGATCCGAGTTCGAATTCCAGTGGATGTACTTATATTCATTTACGTGCAAATACTCTTGGGAAAGATATGAAACTCTCTTCTACACTATAGCTATAGGATAAATGTTAGGACTTTATTATCTCCCAAAGAATTATTAATACCGTATTCATTCGCCAAAAATAATTATTCTAAAAATCCTAAAAATCAGTTTATCCATAATGTCTCTTAAAATTAAAAAAAAAAAACAATTACAAAGTAAATGAACTGACAAATATGTGGAATATGTCACAAAATGATGACACTATTTACATTATTCGGACAATTGTCCTCATCTTTGTCGCCATATTTATTATAGCGTTTAGGCCGTTGTACGCCCCGGCCTTCTTCAGGTGGTTGGAATGTCGAACTGAACCCTTTATTTCGTTCACTAAGGTAGACTGTTCTAGTTCCATGTACCATGTTTAATGAATGTCAGTTATCAGTTATCTCGTGTTAATTCCCCTCTCCAAGGTCTCCACTGCCTTAATCGGGTTTTGAACTCAAATTATTTGGGTTCTGTCACTGGATCTAACTAACGCTTTTATCCACTGTGCCATGTGTCCTTGAGGACATTTGTGTATGAATTTCTGGGCACAGTGGATAAAGGCATTTGTTAGATCCAGTGACAGGACCCAAAGAGTGTTAGGTCAATACCCAGTTAATCAGTGGAGAACTTGGAGAGGGGAATTAACAGGAGATAACTGATAACTGACATCCATTAAACATGGTATGTGGAACTAGAACAGTCTACCCCAGTGAGCGAAATAAAGGATTCATTTCGACATTCCAACCACCTGAAGTAGGCCAGAGCGTACAATGGCCGAAACGTTGTAATAAATATGGCAACAAAGATGAGGACAATAGTCCGAATAATGTAAATAGTGTACATAATACCTAAATCTCAGAAATATAGACAGATACTGAAAGGCCGAAACGTTGTAATAAATATGGCGTCAAAGATGAGGACAATAGTCCGAATAATGTAAATAGTGTACATAATGCCTCATCTCAGATATAAAAACAGATACAAAATATTGGAGTTTTTTATTAATTTAGTATACCTCTATATGGGCATCATTAGTTGCACGAAGCGTATCAAGACGAGACTAGATTACTTGCCATGTTCGCTGTAACATAGTCTCATTAATGGTGACATTGGCATCAGTGATCTTTTGCTTTAGATCGGTGATGTCCCGTATCCTTGTTCGATACACGATATCTTTAACATAACCATAGAGAGAAAGAAGTCAGTGGAAGTGATATTTGATGAACGAGGTGACCAGGTAAATAGGCCGTTTCTTCCAATCAACATATCTGGGAATGGTTGATTCAGGAATCGACGAATATGCAGTCCCCAATATGGTAGTGCATCATCTTGCTGGAAAATGATGGTTGGCTGAAGGTCATCTATTTATGGTACCGTATAAATTGCCTTTATAGTATTTTTTTTAAATAGTAAAGAGACTTTATGTATGTTTTGGCTTTTATATAACCGACAAAATGTGGATATGACGTAAAAAAATCAATCAATCGAATATTAAAGAATGCAGTAGAATTATCTACCACAAAATGATTAGCTGTCCGAATTTTGAATAAAGAAAACAAGTGACCAAATGTTACATTTAATTACAGATTCAATCAACATTGTATTTTCCCTGATTATCTATGACTTCCTTCCATTAACAAGCTTACTAATTCCATTACTGTAAAATTCTTTTGGCTTTGATTCGAAGAACTCACAAATGTCAGTTTTAACCTCTTCCTGTGTTACAAAAGCTGTTTCTTCTAAATGGTTCTGTAAGTTACGAAACAAATGGTAGTCTGAAGGATCAAGATCGGGAGAATAAGGTAGATGAGGAATTTTCTCACAACCAAGTTCTTCGATCTTTTGTGACGTGATTCTTGCTGTGTGGGGTCGCGCATTGTCCTGATGAAACATCACCTCTTTTCCATTCACTAGAGCAGGTCTTTTTTTTCCATCAAAGCTTGGTTCAAAAGCTCTAATTGTTGACAGTATATTTGAGCATTAATTGTTGCATTAGGTGGTAAGAATTCAAATTGGATTATTCCTTGGCAATCCCACCAGATTGAAAGAAGAACCTTTTGCTGATGAAGTTCCCTTCTCGGCTGTGGCTGGGGTCTTCCCCTTTACCAACCCACTGTCTACGACGCTTAACATTTCGATAAAAGATCCATTTTTCGTTTTATTCAAGGGCTGCTTCAAGAAGCTTTTCATCAAACTCAACTGGACGTCCAGTTCGATCTTTATCTTCAAGGGTGAAATCTCCACCTCTGAATTTTGCAAACCATCTTCTGCAAGTTCTTTCATTCACACATTCCTCTCTATAAACTGAGTGAATGTTTCTAGACGCTTCGTCTGCTGAGTTTTCCTTTCTTGAACTCATAAAGCATTATGTGCCTCAAATGATTCTTAGCTAATTCCATGTTAGCAGGGTTTTAATCAAACAAAATTTAATTTTATTGTTCTCTGAAATAAAATTTGATCAGTTTAAATGCATCTAGACATAAAAATAATATTCAGCTCCATTAGACATTATAAAATACTCTTTAAATTTCGTTCATTTTAAGAAAAAGTTAAAATTCGGACATAACTTTTACTTATGGGATGACCTGATGACACAATTGCCACCAGTGCCTTACCATTAAGTGGGAAGTATTTCTCAGAGATATTTCTGCCGCATGCTGTACTTGTCCCTTTCTTTACTGTCCACATTGCTTCCTTTCTCCTTCAGCTGCCTTTTTCTTTCCCTCTGTTTTTATTGTGGTCTCTGTAACTATCGTCGTTTGTCTCTTATTTCGTTTCTTCTGTCTTTCCGTATTTGTCTTTTGCTGTTTCACCTGTTCAAAAACATTTATTTAAAAACTTTCATTTAAATATTTATCTTGACTGAGTTATCAGCTGCAAATTTTATTCCTCTTACACTGGCTTTAAAAAGTTATTTTCACTGTTGTTTATCCATACATCCACTGTATCTTGAATCGTCTTTTCTTCTTTCCTCCAATGTTTCTTGAATCTTTCTTTCTTCATTCTTCAAGCGATTCTCGAATCTTCCTTTGTTCATTCCACCCATATTTATAGAATATTCTTTATTCTTGAAGTGTTTCTTGAATCTTCATTTCTTCAGTCTTCCCCCGTTTCTCGAATATTCTTTTCTTCATTCCTCCAGCATTTCTTGAATCTTGCTTTCTTCTGTCTTCCACTGTTGCTCGAATATTCTTTTTTTCATTCCTCCAGCATTTCTTGAATCTTCCTTTCTTCAGGCTTCCACCTTTTCTTTTCTTCATTCCTCCAGCATTTCTTGAATCTTCCTTTCTTCCGTCTTCCACTATTTCTAGAATCTTCCTTCCTTCAGTCTTCCACTGTTTCTCGAATATTCTTTTCTTCATTCCTCCAGCATTTCTTGAATTTTCCTTTCTTCAGTCTTCTACTGTTCCTCGTATATTCTTCTCTTCATTCCTCCTGTGTTTCTTGAATCTTCCAGTTTTCATATTACTAGTGTTTCTTGAATCTTCCTTTCTTAATTCCTCCCCTGTTTCTTGAACCTTCGTTTTTTATTCCTCCAGCGGTTTTTGAATCTTTCTTCATTACTGCAGAGATTCTTAAACCCGCTTTTATTTATCCCTCCAGTTGCATGCATTCTACCTTCATAAATTCTCCAACAGCACTTTGCATTTTCTTTTCATTATTCCTCCAATGCTTTTTGTCTCTTCCTTTGGTTTTCCGTTATGCATACTGAATACTTAATTGTTTTCTGTTCTATCTTCCAGCGTCTCTTGAATTTTCTTTTCTGTTTCCTCTAGTGACTCTCAAAGCCGTTTTTTTTATTTCTCCAGTTGTATTTGTCATTCTTCCACTGTTTTTTTTATCTTCCTTTCCCGTTTCCTCCAGGATATACATAATAGACCCTTTTTCCTCCTCTAATGTTCTTCATTTCTCTATTGATTCCTTAAGCCGATCTTCTTTACTCTTGCAGATATATGGGTTTTTCCTTCACTCCTCCATCAACAATCTTTTCCGAATTCATCTAATCATTCCTTCAGCGCTTTTCTTTCTCCTCCAACACATACTGAGACTTTCTTTTTCATTCTTTCATTGCTTATATATTCCTTACTTCATTCGTCCAGTGTTATTTACATCTTCGTTTCTTCATTCTTTAAGCATTTCTTAAATCATCTTTATATATTCCCCCAGTTCTAAATTCTTACTGTTTTACTTCTTCCATTGCTTCTTGAATATTCTTTTCTAAACTTCCTGTGTTTCTTGAATCATAATTTCTTCAGTCATCCAGTGTTTCATGCATCTTCGCTCTTCATACCTCCAGTTATTAGTAAAGCTTTTTCATTCCTCCAGTCGCTTGTGTTTTTTTCTTCCATCTGATTTTATGATTTAATTTATTCATTTATTCAGAAAATTATGTTATACTGTACCTATAACTATAATGAGTATGTTCCAATCTTCAGAAATGCAGCGTAATATACTGCGTAAAAGGATTCACCACTAATTCACCATTAGCAGTAGATCACTTATTACACGCAGCTGGCGAATCTTGTATGCTGTTAATTATTATCACGATAACGATAATATTATCACTAATGGCAGTATGGTCATCAAATGTCACTGCGTGGGAGTTATATCTAACTTATTCATTTGAAAATGAAAACATTACTTCTTTAGAGAAATCATTCTTATAAACGTCTCTTGTTTTAAAAGCAAACGATGTTTACACGAACGATCTTCCTTAGTGAAAGTTGCCAATGGTTTAAAACACTGGCAACGTTAGTTTCCCCGTAAGTTTGCCAAATTCAAGAAACATTGAATTTAATCATTGTTTATGCATGTGGTTGTGTATGAGAGAATGTGTGAGTGAACAAGCGAGAAGGAAACAAAATAAAATTTTAAGAAACGTCATTTTCCATATGAATTTAAACGAGCCATTTAGAAAGACCGAACGGGACGAATGTGGCTCGCGGGCCGCAGTTTGCCTATGTCTGCTTTATATTTTCGTTGCATTTTTGAATGATGCTTTCTTTGTGTCATTGTGGCGCGTTTTGATATCGTCACGTGATAAAATGAAATGGGGTTAATTACTATTTACCGCCTTTACATTTACTTTAATACCTACTTTCTTTTTTTCATGTCTGAATCTGTTCTTTTTTCTTTCTTTAAATTCTACCTCTATTTTTTTTCTCTTTCTTATTAATAGACTTCTTTCTTTATTATTTTTCTGCTTGAAATATTCTCCAGTTTTTTTTCATATAATTTATTCTTTGCTATTTTCCTCTCACTCTTTACATGTCTGTTTCATTCCTTTTCATTTTTTACACATGTTTGTTTTCTTTCGTTCATTTTTGTCCTTGAGATTTTCGTTCTTCTTTCCTTTCATCGATTAGTACATTTATCTTAGTCGTTCGATTTCATTTTTTTTCCTGCTTCTTTGTTCCATCCTTGTTTTTTTTTTCTTTTTGTTTTTAGCTTTTTTTTTCTTTTTTGATCTCTTTCATTTTTTTTTTATTCATTTCCCTTCATTTTTATCTTTATTTTAAACTCTTTGTTTTTCTTTCGCTTTCTTAGTTTGTTTTCATTTCGCCCTTTCCCAAATTGTTAAAAACTAGAAGTCAAATTTCTTCCTTATCTTTGCTCTTCTTTTTTAATTTCTTCTTCATATTTTCTTTCGTCATATTTTCTTTCTTCTTTAACACATTCATTTTATTTAATTTAACTCCTTCGATTCGTTTCTCCTTCATTTTCTTTTGTTTTTTAAAATTTTATTCCTATCCTTCTGATGATTAGAAATTCCTACTCTTTTTTCTTGCTTTCTTTCTTTTTTCTTTTATTCTTTCTTTCTTTCTTTTCTTTTCTTTATTTCTTTCTTTAGCCATATTTTAACACTTTCTCTTCATTATAATTTTACATTCTTTCTTACTTCTCATTATAGATCTTTCTTTCTTTCTTCTCACTATAGTTCTTTCTTTTCTTCCCTTCACTATAATTTCTTTTTTTTTCAATATAATTCTTTCTTTCTTTTTATTTCTTCTAATTATGGTTCTTTCTTTCTTTCTTTCTTTCTTTCTTTCTTTCTTTCTTCTCATTATAGTTCATTCATTATTCTCCTTCTTCCTTTCTTTTCTTTCTTTCTTTTTTATTTTTCTCATTATAGGTTTTCTTTCCTTTTTTCTTTCTTTCTCTCTTTCTTTCTTCTCGTTATAATTATTTATGTATTTATTCTCATTATAGATTTTTTCTTTCTTTCATTCTTACTTGTCATTATAAATCTTTCTTTATCTTCATTATATTTTTCTTTCTTTCTTTCTTTCTTTCTTTCTATCGCTTCATTATCGTTCTTTCATTCATTCTTTCGTCTCCTTAGATTTCTTTATTGTTTGTTTTTTGTTTCTTTTGTGTCTCCACCTTTCTCTTCTTTACTTTTTCTTCTCTCCCAATATTCCTGTCAGCCATGTTTCTTCTTCCCCAATTAGCTACTGCGTAGAGGAAAGTGTCCATTTTTATTCTAATAGTTTTCGCTTCTCACATGACCCATTAAGATCGATCAGCGAACATTCGCCTTTCATCGAACCTTTTTTTATTCCACGGCCGATTCCCAAGGCGTAAACTTTCCATTTTTCTCAACCACTTCCACCCCGTTTATAGATATCCATCCGGTCATTTTTATCCGATTAACCAGAGTATTTTTTTTTTTTATTTCTGTTATTCACTCCTCCTCTCAAGCCAGCCCGGTTACGTTTGTTCTGGATATTGTGATAAAAGAACAGTCATGTTCACTAGTATTTAATACTGCTACAAGAGCTATTAAACGGGAGAGAACTGTCGAGATCAGAAATGGTAATATTAGACCTTTTCTTATGAGAAAAATGCCATTGCTATGAAAAAAAGTTCCATTGCTACATTCGGTTGAAATTTAAACTTATAGATATCGCAGATTTTAAGCTATAGATAAAAGATTATATGAACATAAAAGGGACATTTTACAAAATAATACATCTAATGGGTTGGATGTTCCTCTCCGTAACGAGACTGATGATACTCTGAACAAAAGAGAAAACATTTTACTACGACGTAAATGTCTTGAGAGCGCATTGATCATAAGATTATTCACAGTAAATTTGGGCCCGGGCACTTACAACATTGAACCATTCCTGGCAGATATTTTATTATCGTAGTGTGGAATAGCTAATAACGAAAGTTATGGAAACAAAAAGGAAAAGAAATAGAATCTAAATGAAATCGACTAGATTATATAACAAAAATAAAATAAGATATATACATTTTTTTTCACCAACATAAGAAATTTAGTCCGATGATGTCCTAAAGTTCAAAACTAGTCACAAGAAAACTTATCCACTTTGTCATACATTTTACCCAAAGAATTATTCTTGACATACAAAAAATTATATACGTTACACCTATCTTATCACAGCTCCATTAGAACCCATTTAAACACACGCACAAATTTACGCGACTTCATTAGGAACATACTAGTAGAAAACACAAATATATTAATTGAATCCACCTGCAAAAAAAAAAGACTAAAAATAATGGAGGCTTTAATAATAAAAAAGAAAAAGCCAACTCTTAACAATATTAACACAATGTGCTAACCGTATTCGGAAATTAAAAACATCCCTACCACACAATAAGACATACACATAACGCACACACTCAATTAAGCTGAAAAATCGAATCATCCTTGATAATGGCTAAATGTATAGCCGAAAGCGCTCGGAAATATAAAACATTTGGATAGTTCTTACACACCCTTTGTTCAGAAAAGAAAAGCTCTTGTCAGAAAAATTAAATAAAAAGCTTAACCGTAGTACCTTATCTGTCGTTTTTAATGAAACATGCATATATATATATATATATATATATATATATATATATATATATATATATATATATATATATAATAAAATCGAGTTCGAATTCCATTACATTCACTTACGTGCTAATACCTTTTTGGGAAGGTATGACTCCTCTTCTTCACCCAACAGTTATAGGTAAATAGCAAGACAGACTTGGGTGACAACCGGTCTAGAAGGGCACTTCCAAAAAGTGTGGTTGGTTCTGTACAAAGCCTTTACCACTATAATCAAATCATATATGCAGGTATCTGGCTGTCGGTTCCTAGGAACTGAGCTGCGTGACCCTTATACGCCGAAAAACGACGGATGAGTCCAGTGCATATATATATATATATATATATATATATATATATATATAAATAACTGGGGCAGGAATTGGCTGGTCAACTTTAATGCCTCAAAAACAAAACTGCTCTCTATTAATCACCACAGAGATCCGTCACTGCCCTCCATTAGAATGTCTGAAGCTCAACTTCTCGAAAGTACCTCACTGCGGCTGCTCGGTCTCACGTCGACTGCTGACCTGAGATGGAACAAATACATTGAGTCAATTGCTTCGTCGACCGCAAGGAAAATTGGCTCCCTGTGCCGCGCCAGGAAATTTTTCTCCCCGGAATCGATCCTCCAGATCTACAAATCAACAATTCGCCCTTGCATGGAGTATTGCTGCCATATATAGTCTGGAGCCTCTTCTGTTTGCCTCGGGGTTCGTGATGAGATCCATGAGATTCGTCACAAGTTGGAAAAATTTAAACCTGCATGGCACTTTACTCCAATTGGCTCATTCGCTTGCTTAAACTCAACGTTGATTCTGATTCCGCAGAACTGGGCTGGGTGTGAAATAGTATTTGTTGTTAACATTCTTTTTTTCATTCGGTTTTTCCAGTTACGAGTCCTTTTTTTAAAGCTGATCGTTTTGTGTTCATTTTGTTTAGTTCTTTTTTCGTAACAGATTTAATGTTTAGTAGAGAGCTTAGAAAAAATTCGCAGTGTGAGATAGGAAAGAAGTAAGGCATGTAGCAACATCAGCACGGCAAAGGGCACTCTTTTAAAGGGAAGGAAGGGCAAAACTATTTTAAGTCAAGTGATAGCGATTGCTGTATGAGTCGTACGATTTTGGAATCAAGCACGGGCAACGCCGGGCCATGCTGCTAGTTTCACTATAAAAGGCATTTTCATATTCTTTTTATTGTCATTTTGCTATAAAAACGTGTTGTCGCTAATTATACTATAAAAAGTTATTCTTTGAGAATTTTATTATAATGTGGCACCATTTACCAGGGCAAAAAGAAAAGAAAGGAAAAAGAGAAAGGAAAGAAAGGAAAAGAGAGGCGAGACCCAAGCGTGGATGATAAAAAAAAACACCCACGACCAGAGACAATTGACAATGTTATTTTGATACGTAGCAAATGGCGAAAAGTGTCATTACCATGGCAGAAAAATTCTAAGTGGATAAGGGAATCGACTATGTTCAACTACTGATTGATTTCGTCTGCCTAAGATCAATTCACAACGTGGGTAGGCAGACTGGAGATCAACGCAATTACTTTGGTAACCAGACGTTGGAAGTGAGTTGGGAACGACGAGGCTGATATCGAATCTAACCAGATTCCCATCCGAATCACCAAAAGGTTAGAACGTCACATTTGGGTGCCGCGACCGATACCAAGCCAGTTGGTCGTCACAGGACGGGACAACACGACTGACGCAAACAGGCGGGCGTCACGTTTGGAGCGGCGACGCCCGGACGAAGCAGCGAGGAGCGAGCGAAGGCTGTGTTTAGGGACGTCACAATAAAATTGTACTGTTGATTGTTTTTGTTCGGTTCACTATGTAACCATAACTCGGACCCTAGCAAGTGGTACCATTCCGGATCTGAGGATACCTGAGGACAACCGAAGTAAAGAGGGCGCTCCATGCTTCTCAAAACTATCAATCTCTGGGATTAGAGGCTTTACGCCCGGTTGTAGTTTATCGCCATTCTCAGGATGAATATATACGCGATGTGTTATCGGAAAGGCTATGTATTGTAGTTGTACTATCTGGATGGTTCAACGATAATGCGCGCGCAGTCAACGCACAATGGTGTGAAACCTAATGTGTCTGTTATTTTATCGGCTTGTTGCCATCTTGAAGCGTCCAGTTATTATACAAGCTTGAAAGGGTTCGATTACAAACATTAGTTTTATGTCCGTAATCATTGGACAAAAAGATATCATTTCATATAGAACAACAACGTCAATTGAAATTGCTTTTAAAAAGTCAGCTGCTTCCATAAACGCTTGCTGGGTTTTACGATGATTTCATCACGATGGTCGTATCCGATATCGCAGTGGTGGCCATCATTACAGGGATGCGATGGATAAATTGTCGTCCAAATTGCGCAGATACGAAAATAACGTGTAAAAAGATATATTTAATGAAACTGCACGAAATTATCTTGGAATAATAAATAGTAAATTTATTCAGTAAAATCGACGTCCAACTCTTTCCCACTGCTCTGCACTGTCCTCGGATTGACACCCAAACACACCGAAATGTTCATAATTGAGCTTTCGGCATTCTGTTTTTTCCAAATTTATGGCGCAGTGCATTGCGTCATGGTGATCTTTTTCCTCACAGACGCTGTCCAACTTACACTACTGTTCTGTGCAGTCACACAAAATCAAAAACACACAACGCGCATGTGCGAAATTAAAAATATAAAATGGCGACAAATTACCCATCGCACCATGTATTTTCTTGAAACGAGAAAAAGATTAAAGAAAAACTTTTATGAAGAAACGGTTTCGTTCTTTCTTTTTTAAAATTTTGTTTTTCTATCGCCATTTCTTCTCTATAGCAGGATTAATTCTAATTCATTTCAGCACGAACAAATATTTCTGGCTTTAAGAGAAATTGATGATTAAGCAAGAACATTTTTTCAGTACAGACAAATTCTTTAGCGAAAAAGTTTGCATTCAGTTGCAAATTTTCGCACTGAAAATAAAGAAAAGCAATAGTCAGTTTTCAAAGAAAAACAAAAAAAACAAATCAACAATTAGTTTCGTATTTTACAGCACTTCGTCATGGTGTAATCGTTAGCAAGCGCCTCTTACTAAAACAATTACGAGTGAATAGTGAGTTCGATCCGGACTGGGTACCCCGTACTTTTGGCCTCGTTCCAAGGTACGCTTTGATCTTTGGGCACTTGGACGTTGGATAACAGTTAGCAATCTGGCTAGATCAATTACGATTGACGAGTGAGTTCGATACTAACTGGGTGCCCCATATATTCGGCCTTGTGCCTCATCTATGATACGCTTAGAACATCTTTTGGGCACTTCGACGTGGTGTAATGGTTAAAAAGCGTGTCACGCTAGATCAATTACAATTGAGTCGTGAGTTCGATCCTCACTCGGTGCTCATACGTTCTGCCTTGTGCCACATAACTGAGTGCTCGTCACTTTCGGCCTCGTGCCATATCTAAGCTTCGAAAATCATTTGTGCACTTCAGCGTGATGTAATGGTTGACAATTTTATCTCGCTAGATAAATTACGATTGAGTTATGAGTTCGATCCTCACTGGGACCCCAATTCTACGGTAAAAAAAAAACAAAACAAAAAAGAAAACATAGTTTCCTATTTTTTATTTAAATTATTTCTATACTACAATTCTCGTCTCAACGTTTCATCCGTTATACCTCCCGGCCTTCATCAGGTGTATGTGGATCTGCTTAACCTACGCGGATTTCTGTGTTATTTTTGCAGGGATAGATTGTTCACGTTATACAGTCCATGTCTAAAGATATCTTCACCTGTTCTTACTTTTAGTACTTACGGACGCATCACTTTGAAACGCTGGATTAGCGAAATTAAGCAACGTCGAGAATGGGCATTGCCTTGGTAAGTGACTGTTTGAGAATACCAGTTGATGTAGTGATTTCCCAAGCGTAGCTTGGATGTGGTACAAGGCCAAAAGTATGGGGCACCCCGTGAGAATCGAACTCACTATTCAATCGTAGTTGTTCTAACGAGACAAGCTTGCTAACCATTACACCACCTCGAAGCGTCCTTTTTTTCTAAGCCTGGCTTAGATGTTGGACATAGCCGAAAGTATGGGACACCCAGTGAGGAGCGATCTCACTACTCAGTCATAATTGATCTAGCAAGACAAGCTTTCTAACCATTGCACTACGTCGAGGTGCCTAATACCAGGTGATGTAAGCTCGGATATGACGGTAGCTTAATGGATAATGGCTCGGAATTGTTAATTGGAGAACCGAGTTTCAATACCCATTGGGTTCGTTATATTCATTTACGCGTAAATAACATTGGGAAATGCATGAATCCACCTCTTCTCCCCCAACTATGGGTTAATTAGCAAGAATTGCATCACTAAACCATTGCCATTTAAAAACAATATTTTTAAAATGTAAAAATATATTCTGTCTTTGAAAATTCTGCAAAAAACGAATCTATCAATCTTAGTAGGGCTCAATTATTGTTCGTCCAAATTTCTACTGAGACCGAGTAGACACTGCTTGGCCGAGGGATTGAACTCACAAACCAACATTTTAATCCATCAGGGACAATTGATAGTAAAATATCATCAGGAAGCTCGTTGATGAAAATAAGGAATGGAGGGTGTCGAAGTCTGGGAAAATAAAGTGTTCCCCGATAAATTTACATACAGGCACATGCAATATGTATCGTTTCATAATAAAAATATTAGAGTGTAAGATATTTCAAAAGCACTTGCAATAAAAGAACAAACATTAACATCGATATAAATTGGAGGTCAAATGTTTGAAAACGGCGAAATAACACAAAGCGTCAATGTATCTCCCTTGTTTCTCGATGTAATATTGTAAACCGAAATTTGTTACTTGTTTCTTCTTCTTCTTCTTCTTCTTCTTCTTCTTCTTCTTCTTCAACACATATGTAATTCACTCATGCCAAAAGTACAAAAAAAAGCGTTTTAAGTTAAAGATATCATTCCAAACGACGAAAAGCAAAGGGTACCGCTACCTTTCAAAATATTGCATTTTCAAATTCCTATGTATTTATGCATCGCTGTGTGTGTACATATATATATATATATATATATATATATATATATACCTTTCTATCTGAAGTTCACTCACTATCTATATGAGGCTATTCACTATCTAGCTAACTGAGCTTATCTATCTATCTATCTATCTATCTATCTATCTATCTATCTATCTGTCTGTCTGTCTATCTATCTATCTATCTATCTATCTATCTGTATGTCTATCTATCTATCTATCTATCTATCTATCTGTATGTCTGTCTGTCTATCTATCTATCTATCTATCTATGTTTGTTTAAATCTACCACAGTCCTTATCTGTGTCCGCCTACATCCAATTTCATATTTGGTTCCTATCATATTAAATCAGTCAGTTCGTATATATGGGAAAGAGAAAGAAAGAAAGAAAGAAAGAAAGAAAGAAAGAAAGAAAATCATGAATTATCCATTCGCAAATGTACATTTTCCCCGGCCCTATCTCCTCTTATATATTCGGTTAACCGTGAATCAGACTCTATCCGTGAGTTTTGCTGCGGTAAAAATTAAATTCTCTCTGAAAAACGCCCTGTTTAAAAGCTAACTACTGAAGAGTGAGCCATATGGTTAACAGCGGGGACAATTGTATGGGGTCCAAAATCCGCCATTTTCTATTCTATGGCGCTCATCTTCGTTACATTTCTTTTCCCCTTTGTATCTGTTTCTCTTTTTTTCTCCCCTCAAGAGCCCCTCAAGGTAGAGGATTACTCTGTGAAATCATATTAGTGTAATAAAAGGCAAGAAGCGAAATTAATGGAGCTATGCAGGAAAGATAAATGCTAATTCTAGACTTGAAGATGTCAAAATGTAATTAGTGAATGAAAGCATAGTTTGATGCATAGAATTAAAGTAGACTTTAGAAGAAACTGGAACTCCAATCCTAAACAGGAAAAAGGGATGCACCTCTAATACTGTTCAAAAGACCGCCATTTTCCTCTCTTTTCCTTTGCCCTTTGTTCAAGTACTCATGTCTTTCTCGAAATACATAAAGCATATTTGTATTCTAAAGAATATAATTCTTGTATTAGAGTAGCACTTATTTTGTTAGCTGCAGGAATTACCCCAGTCCAGATTGGAAAATAGTCTAATAATGTTAATAAGAGTCCCACTCTATTAACGTACGCGTGATCCATGCAAACAGTTTGGGCGATGTGTGTAGTTTATGTTATGGGAACTTACCCAATAATAATAATGGACTATTCCTGACATTACAATTACTGCGCCTCTCAAGAGGTATGACCATATTGTAAGACGAGGAGAAATTGAGAGCATATTGTAAGGACATTGGAATAGTTATACTTCGACGTGAAAACAATAGAAAAAACTAAAAATCCTTGAAGCATTATACATTAAAAATTTGAAAACCAACCTAAACAAAATCAACTATGGAATCTCTACAAATATCCTTAAATGTCTGTAGTTGGTGACGGAGGCCATTGGTTTGTGCCAACGGCATTCCATACTTCATACTTCTCCAATTCACTCTCGCGTGGTAATGTGTGACGTCATGAGATGCGGTGCGATTTTCGTTTCTAGCGTCTTATATGCACGTGTTTATCGTTGCCTAGAGATCACCTATGTAAACATTCACAGACTGTCATCACTGTCCTGTCCGTATATTGCTTAATATGTTGTAATTGACATCCTTGATAATGGCTTATGTAAACCGAAAGCATAGATTGTATTAAAAAATATGGATCAATATTGTGAATTTCTTCCTTCGTTCAATTATAATGTTATTAAACTTATTAGACTATATGAAAAGAGTTTACATAAAATAAATAGACAACACTTGTCTATGTTATTTAATAAAACGTGTATGAATATATATATATATATATATATATATATATCTGAAATTGAGCAATTTATCCTATAATATAGCACACCTTAAGATTATATTTTTTCATATATATATATATATATATATATATATATATATATATATATGTCAAAAATTGTGAGTTTCATCGTTCAGAGCGCGTGGATAGTGACAACGAACTGTTAAGTAGTTCAGGACAACAATGTTTTAAGGAAATTCAAGTGTCAGGAATTCTATTTTATTAGACCTTAGTGTCTATCTCCAAATATTCAATGTGCAAGAATGAAATTTGTGCGTGTGTATATGTCTGTATAGAAATAGTTTTAATTTTTCCTGTTATGTCGAAATATTGACGATAAGAATTGTGCCCGAGTGCTTATGTGTATATAAATATGATACGATTTTTAAAAAGTAGCCAGATGCACAAGAATTGTTGTTGTGTGTAGGACAGCGGTTTATCGCCTTAATAATAATGATAACTTCTACAGAAGGAGGCTAAGGATAACATGGACCGATCGTATTAGCAAAGATGAGGTCTTAGAGAGGTTGCAGACAAGGAGGAGGCTTATACTTAACATCAGAAAGAGGCAGCTTCTGGGACGGATAATGAGGAAGGATGGCTTGGAGAATCTGATACACATGTGCCGAATAGAGAGACAAAGGAAAACAACGCGTAACATACCTGGCGGCCTTATGCAAGTGGATAACAGAACGTGGTCTGAGTGAGTGTTATAGTGGAACACACCTATTCTATAGTTAATAGACTCTCCCTCCTATAATAAGTAGGAGTAGTAAAAGCAGTCGCTTAGAGAGTTTGTCAGTCAGTCGATGTCGGACGACCGTTAGTCGGATATTAAAGTATCAGCCACCACAACTAGATTGCTGCGTCATTACCTATTATATCAAGTTCCTAACGTTTTGTACGTCGAACCTATTTTAGGACCGACTTAGTGAAAATACAAGCCTCCACTATGAAACTACTCTATAACAACTTGGCGACGAGGGATTCGAACTCATACGGAGGAAGAAAAACATTGGTACTGTACAACAGGGAGGAAGCAGAGGAAAGAAACTTGTTGAGAGCTGCAATGGATAGAGGGAGTTAGAGAGCCATGATCGCCTACGTCCCGAAAGGACACGGCACATTAAACGAAAGAAAGAATAATGATAATAATAAAAGTAATAATAATGATAATGATTCCTGTAGTAAAATTTTACATATCTATGAAGTGTTCTGACACAGGACAAAAGTATGACACTGAGATCGGAAGACGTGTTGAGATGGCCGAAGACGCATTCCAAAAGCTAAGCAGAGTATTACGAGACAGGAAATTTTCATTGGCAACCAAGAAAAGAGTACTGATCTGTTATATGATATTTGTCCTCCTGTATGGTAATGCATACTGGACAATCTTTTCAAAAAGGAAGAGGAGACTTGAAGTAACAGAAATGTGGTTCTACAGAAGGATGCTAAGTTTAACTTGGGCCGAATATCTGAGCAAAGACGTGGTTTGTGTGGAATGTAAACAAAGATTAAACTTATACTTACCATCAGGAAGAGGCAGTTGGACTTTCTGAGAAAAGTAATGAGAAAGGAGGGCTTGGAAAATCAGATACCCACAAGACGGATAGAAGGAAAGATAGACAGGGGAAGGCAACGCAAAACATACATGATGGGCTTGAGAAAATGGATGGTGGTACAGGGTCTGGGAACGTTAACAAAAAGACAAAACAGCTACAATGGACAGGAGGAGGTGGAGGGCCATTATCGCTTATGTTCTGAAGGGACAGGGCACATATAAGAAGTAAAATGTGTTTGAGTGTGTGTGAACAGTCTTTGGCAAATGTGACTTTTTTAGGGTCTGCTCACACGTGATTAAATAATTTTCTTCGTGGCAAAACTTGGAATTAAGTGTACTCATTTCTTACACGTAAGTCTAAATCCTTCGTGAGTGGTATTTGCTTTGTAGAAAAGTCTCAAATTTGTTGGTGATGAATTGTCATTCTATTCTTGAGGGTGATTTTGGTTGGTCCCATGTAATTCTCATTAAGTCCGTTACGTCCTTTAAGAGAATATGCTAGAATATATATATATATATTAAAGAAAAACAGACCACTTTAAGGCTCCATTGTAATAGTTTATTTCACCAGATACCTTTAAAAGGTCTCTGGTGAAATAAACTATTAAATGTATTGAATGTAGTATAAAGAGTTTTTAACATTTAACACAATTACTTGATAAGACACCAGAAGGTTATTTTTGTTGTGATTTTATAACAATATTTATATTATAATTTTCGAGTAAATAATTATATATATATTTTCTTTAATTATATATATATATATATATATATATATATATGTGTGTGTGTGTGTATGTATTATTAATTAAAGAATATCAAACACGTAAAATACCCTACGTAATAATTTTAATTTCATGAGAGCTCTAAAAAAGGGCCTCTCAATCTTTAAGACCTAAAAACAAATCACAAATGAAATGGGGGAAAAATTGGATTAAAATCAAGAGCTATTGCTATTTTATTTAGAGAGTGGGCAAGGCAGATATACCGGCTAGAATTTTGACCGTTGACTGAAAGAGATGGGTTTGTTCACATTGAACCAACTACAATTTAAACCCTTCCATCATCCTCAAAACCTCTCACCATTCTCAAATGACATACAGATTGGCATTAGTTTCGGAAGAAACAAAGACAAAACTGTCCAACATTTGGATATTTTTTTATTATGATTATTGTTATGGGACCTTACTCATAATAACATAATGGACTATTCCATATGTAATAAATACTGCGCCTCAAGAGGAAGCAGGGAGTTCAGTCCGAAGTCGGACGTCCGGCTGACCGGCTGATCGGTTGAACTCTCTGCCTTCGGGCGGGGAGGAACCCGAAGGAGGCTACGCCGACCCTGAACCCCTTTATACGGGTTCAAAGGACATATTATTGGCGGAGTCCACGGGCTGGGAGATCCCAAGTTAAACCGGCCTTTTGCCACATGATGTCCTCGTGGGGGGTGACTAAATACAGTTCAGTCTGAAGTCTGGAGTGAGGTCCGTCAGAAGTCTGTCCGTCAGTCAGTCACAGCGAGCGAGTCAAGAGTCGAGTCAGAAACAGAGTCCCGTTCAGACAATTACTGCAAGACATTGGAATAGTGATACTGGTCGAGACTACATTGTTCTCCCTACTAAATCTGATTGTTCGTACTAACACTTTCTACTTCTCTGTATATATTCCTGTTTGTAATATATCTGTGTTATTCCATATCCGTGTTCGAGTTGTTCTTTATTGGTTCTACTTTGGACTATCACCGTGGTACAAGGAACCGGACCATAACAATTATATACATACACAAATTCCCAAGAGGATAGAATACAGGTAGAACTCAATATCCAGGATAGAGTAAGAATATAATATAAAAAGCTCAAACATTAACATTCCATGGTTATAATTTATTACATTAGAATCATAATCACGGAAGAATTCATCACCT